TTGTATAGAAAACATTTTGAATCCGGAGCTTTACAACTTAATTTTGCCGCAGAGCCCTGAGCCAGCTTGAAGCAGCCTTGTGTGAAAGTATTTATGAAAATCAAGTAAAGCATCAAGTAAACAAAAGAAAAAAAAGATTAATGAAATACATAACCGATTGCTTAATTAGGTGAAATTGTTTTCTTTTTTTTTATGTAGTTATTAAGGTGCTCACAGAAGTCCTTACAGTTTTATTACAGAGCACTGGAAAGTGCTCTATGCTAATATGCTATGAATTAAACTTTATAAGAGTAAACAAAAAACAATTAATAGTTATAAAAAGAGATGTCATACTTCCTAAAATAGTCATTTATAATGTACACTGCCACCAGCAAATAATAAAAGTTTTTTTTAGCAAGTTCTGTTAGGTTAATGTTTTGTATTTGCTGACCAACACTTGTAAAGGTTTGCTTTCCAATTTAAACAAACGGTTTTATGTAAAAACTAATATCATTTGCGATTGGAATTATTCTTTCTAACACCTTCATATGTATGTATTTTTTTGTAGAGATTAGTTTGATTGTTTTCATTTCCTTTTTTTTTTCTTAAGAAGTAGAGCTGAATCATCACCGGTGCTGAATGGTCACCGATGATGGTTCATCAGTGTCAAGCAGCCTTTCACTGAGAAGGATTTGTCACATCTTTTTATCTAAACCGTATAATTGACATTCCCATTAAAGCTAAACAATGTTTTAAGTTCAGGTTGTCAATAACTATAGTTAAATCAAATTGATGTAACAGCCAATAAATAATGTGTGCTGTTACACAGCCAAGTCATAAATTAACAAAAATGCCCGCATCGTACAGTTTTTTGCAAGAATACCCACACCATATTGGGGGTATTCTGGCAAAAAAACTCAAAAAACCTTGTTAAGAGAAATCAATCATTAAAGTTTTCTTCCAATTTGAAACTTTTATAACCTTATTATACTACATTTGGTGTTCATATTTAAACCATAAATTTTTAAATAAAACTTTTTTTAAATAAATACTTAACACCATAATGTTAAGTATTTGTTTAAGAAAATATTTATAGCTATTATATATATAGAAAATATTTATAGGTATAGAAAATATTTATATATATTTTTTAATTTAAAAGCTTTTAGCCTGAATTTTTTTTTTTTCAGGTGCCCCAAGGAGACCTAACGGTCTTGTCACAGAGCACCGTGGAAGTGCATTTAACCAGGAAGTTCACACCTCCTTACTTACTGTGACGCAAAAATATGTCCAGAGCTAGTTTCGAACCTGGATCTCCTGCTTATAAAGCAAGCGCTCTAACCACTGCGCCATGGCCACTTAAATAAAATACCCGTTTTATGAGTTAACATTAAATGTAATTTTATAACCAGAGAAAAGCTTTCCTCTGGTTATAAAATATTTTAAAATCTTTAAAGATGATTCATTCGACTTGTATTTTTCCAGTTTGTAGAGTGTTGTAAACTTTAAAATACTGCACCATTAAATTAAAACTGCCAATTTTAGATTTAAAGTCTTTTGCCAGTATACCCAAGATATACACTTCAATGAACCAGGTCGGACCCCTTAAAATAGAAAAGTGTCACTGAATATTTGACAGCTGAATATTTGGTGCTTTGGCTGAGTGTCTAGCCGAATATTTGGCATACAACAGAACCACTATCTGTGACATCTCTAGCTATAATAGTACATGCTTTTGTTTTTAAACAAACAAATAAAAATAAAAGATAGGAAAAAAAATAAAAAATAAAAAGATTTTAAGATTTTTACTCAACTTTTAGTCGATTAGTCGAGGAAGTCAACAGGAAGTCTATAGTTGATTAAATCAACTGTTTATTACTGCGTCAACTAAATCAACTAAAAGTCAATTAGTTGACTACTTTTGACTTTCGACTAATTGATTTTTAGTTGATTTAGTCGATAACAACACTACCTAGTTTATTAGCATTAAGCTGTATCCAAACAATGAGCTCAGAGATCTTTCTTTATCCAAGTTTGCTTGCTAAGAAACGTGTTAATCTCAATATGGCTTTTGATTAGCTGTTTAGTCAATAGGATCTAGGACTAATGTTTTACTGTTGCATCACTTAATCCTGACCTATCCAATCTGATCTACTTGATCTAGCAGATCCATGGAATTGAATCTTTACTGTCACTTCAAACACCAAACCCTAACATATCAAACTGTGTATATATTCTGTGTAGTTTCAGTTGCTGAGTGGCCTAATTAAAACTCAGTGACTACAACAGCCCCTTTGGACTTGTGAAGGTGAACACAGATTGATAAGAAAGTCAAGAAACCAAAAAGTAGTCTTTCAAAACTAAAACTTGATTATTGCAGAACTTTCCTGGAAGATCCTAACAGCAATTCAGCAGATACCAAAAACTGTAAATCAAAAAATCAAAAACTGTAACGAAAAATCTTCAAGGAAAGTGGACAGTCCTAGACCAGCAATCCTATACAATTTCAAAATATATAAATCCCCGACATTTTAATAAAAATAATTAAAACCAACAAATTTGACAATAAATTTATGGTTTGTGAAGCAATCTATTCATATGGTTTTAAAACTCAGCAGGCTTGGTCGGGAAGCAGGAGCAATCGCTCTTGAATACTGACCACGGAAATTATATTTAGTTGCGTAAAACTGGCCAGGTTTTTTAGTCGTTTTGAGAACATTTAAGTTTATGTACGAAACAAAAAATTTTTGTTTTACGGACATACATGGAAACATAAAAAACTTGAATGTTCTTAAAACATCTTTGCGCGAAAGAATAAAAAGAATATTTGCAAACACTAAAAACCCGCCAAATTAATGAACAAACTAATTCTATTAGTTCAAAAAAATACGCTGATTAAGCGAAATAAAGTTCTAGAGTATTCTGTTAAACTGTTTTAGAAATTGTATTATTCACGATTGGTTTCGTTTTGAGATTTCTAGCATTGTTTTAAGAATATATATTATTTGTTTACAAAAATAAATATTTTAAATATATATTAATTAAATTGTTAAAATTTTAAAAGTTTATTATAAATCATAGATTTTATTAGTATATTCTTATTTTTTATTTAAAAGAGATTGTATTCTTTATGTAAATGTAATTTTGTGTATTTGTTTTTTATCGTAATGTATCTTTTAAAGCAATTTTTATGATTTAAACAAAGACTTACAAAAATAATTGCGTTTTCAATGAAGTTATAATCGTTAAAGTTAATAAAACTAATTATGTAACAAACATATAAGAAGTTTCTGGTTACCAAACACAAACAACGCATACAAAGTAACTCGCAGATGAACAAGCATCGCGCCTGAGGTCACGACAGAACACAAATATATATAGCAAATAATTAGATATAAAGGAAAGTTTCTAGATATTGGTTTACTAACTCTAATTATTTTTGCTTAAGTTGCCATTCTTAAAACTCGTTATACTTTTTTCTGCTTTAAATACTAATTAAAATTAGAAAGCCAACTCACTAAACATCATCAGCGATATTGTGAAGCAGTTTCGCTTCCTGGTCATAAAGTATTTTTAACCTTTTTAGTTGATTTCTATCTTGATAATTTAATTCCTATAGTAATTCAATGATTTAATTATATCATTTGTTTATCTTACTAAGAAGAATCGCTTCAAATATGTTAAATTTTTCAAACTACGCGAAACATAAAATAGGTATTAAAAAAATTAACTTTTTCATTTATAAAATAATTTAGCTTAAGTAAAACTAAAACTTGCAAACTTAGTTAAATAGAGAATATTTGTTTCCCTTTTAAACAATCGTAAGTTGTTACTTTATATAAAAAACATTGCTTAATTTTGTAATTATAATCGTAAGTTGTTACTTTATATAAAAAAAAAACGCTAAAAATTGTAAAAGAGCGATGTTTCAAAAATATTTGTTCAAAATGTAATTTATTTAGCTTTAAGTTTTTTCGCGTTTAAAGATATTTTATTTGCCTATTTTTTTTTTTTTTTGTAATTGTCTCTCATTGGTCCAATTAATCTTTGTCGCTTTTTTTTTTTGCTTTTTAAAATGTTCTCAAAACGGCTAAAAAATCTGGCCAGCTTTTCGCAACTAAATATTATTTACGTGGCCAGCAATCGAGAGCGATCGCTCCCGCTTCCCGACCAAGCCTGACTCAGCCATTTTTAAAAGGAAAATGGCTGAGTTTTAAAACCATATATAAATCTATATACTATCTATAGAAATTCCCATCATTTTATGAGTCTTTATCTTGTTGGATCATACAGATCAAAATATGAAACTGTTTGGTAGGAAGCTGTAATGATATCACCATATCTATTGAGCAAATAAGACAAACTTTCCTGGTCTGATCTGGTTTTTAAAAATGATAAATAAAATGATAATTTTATTACATAGTTCTTGCACTTACATGTTCCAAATTGATAATATTACTGGCCTAACTGATATAATGTTTGTTGGGTGCTAAGAATGAATGTAATTTCTCTAGTTAAACATGTTTAACATCTTCTGGACCTGAGTACCACATCTTAACATAAAAAAAAGTAAACTCTAATTAAAAAGTTTTTATCTTTCAGTAATATTTTATGTTTTTGTTAAAAATTGTTATAATGGTATAAACTTTAATTTTAATATTTGTATGTTTGCTAATTCTTTTTATTTTTGTGTTTCTTTTTTGACTTAGCAGATTTTGTTTTTCAAAAGAACATGCATTTTTCATTTTAAACATTTTAAAATATTTTAGTTTCTAGTAAAACCAGAGATTAAAAATAATCTTGTAACTAAAGATTGTTAAACCATTATTTGTATTAGGTTTATCATCTCTTCTTTTGCTGAAATAAAAGTTAAGCAGCTCTGGGAAAAAGTAAAATAATGCGGTAGTACGCTTGCTTCATAAGCGAGAGGTTCCAAGTTCGATCCCCACCACGCCCCTGGTAGTACCGCGCTCAACTCGTTTCTCCGCGCAGCGGCCTTGTTTGTCAAGCTTCGTGTTTTGGAGTTTTAGAGTTGAGAGAGAGTTATAACCACAAATAAGTAGCCTCCTCCTTAGTAGTGGCCTTCTCGGCCTTGAGGAAGTGAATTAACAAAAAAAAAAAAAAAAAAAATCGGAACACATGGCAACTAAACAAAAAATTTATATTGACTATTTTAAAATCATCATCAATTAAAATGATCATCAAAATTTGTTGGATTTTGTTAGGATTCAACAATTTTTAAAATGGTAAGGTACCGATTTTAAGTCATTTTCTTCCACTAGATTACTTAATAAAAAGTGCTTTTATTAGATCTTAGATGGAAATCGTGAGTACAAATAGAGAGTTCTAAGTTGTTAAAAATAGCATTTCTTTATTATCCTTGAGGCCAACCATATTTTATATAAAAGATAGTCGAACATCTTTTTTAATTAAAAAATAAAATTTAATCTGTAAAAGTTTACAACACTTGTATTAGTGGTAACAAAACAATGGCAGCAAAACAATGGCAACAAAAACAATGGTAACAAAACAATGGCAACAAAATCAATGGTAACAAAATGGTAAAAAAACAAAGGCAGCAAAACAATGGCAACAAAAACAATGGCAGCAAAACAATGGCAACAAAAACAATGGTAACAAAACAATGGTAACAAAACAAAACAAAACAAAGAACAAAAAATGTAGTTATCTCTGTATTTCTGAAAATATTAATTTTTGAATTCACTACCAAAAAAGGAAAGTAAAACTTAAAAAAAATACCACTACAAAACCCATAATGGTAGACAAGAGCAAAATAGGGCATTTCAGGCGGCCTGAAAATGCTAAAAATTTAGGACCTTTTAAAACTAGGGTTTAAATTTTGCATTTTTTTGTGTTTCATTTATAGATACCACTCTAAAAATTTCAAGAAAATATGAGGGGATGGAAGAATAACTTTGCTTTTTTTACAAGAAATTACATATATATAACATTTTCAATAATAAACTATAAAATATACAAAAGCACCCAAAAATTTTCAGACAGGCTAAATAAAATTGAATTTTACTAACAATTTAGCACTTCACTAAACCCAACATTTTATTTACTGTTTAAAAGGTTTTCAATTTTATTAATATGTTTTGAACAAATATTAATTATTTAAATAATGTACTTTAATTGATTTAAAAAATAACAATTTTTAATGAGTTCAAAAATCTGTGGACTTATTGAAACTTCTTACATTTTTTACAAAAAATTGATTGCTTATTGAGATTGTAAACAAATACTTAGTGAAAATAATTAAAAAGCAATGATAAGTGATTAAGGTTGATAGCGAGATCAGTTCAAATGGAAATTTGTTTTGTAACAGAGCCTGTAAGTCTGCTGATGGACAAATTATTAGGAGATATGAACTTACTGGACCCAAAAAGATTCAGAAGTAATCAGGAAGAATATGCAAAACAACATATGGTCAAGATAAAAAGCTTGTGATACTAAGCAAGGAAAAACCCTGTTTGACAGCTGTTGATTCAAATGAACAAATAAAACATTTTTATGAAATGATTTGTAGTATTTTTAATACAAAACCTTGTTTTGCCATACAAATGTGTTAAGAAAAAAAAAATAATAATAATAATTTTAGTTAATTGCATTACTATGTTTTTTATGAAAACAAGTTAATGCAATTCAGATGAAAACAAGTTTGCTTAACATTCAGTAGGTACAAGATATGATCCTAAATCCCAACTGCTTATAAGTAAAACATGGAGAGGCAATGTAATGTTTGAAAGACATTTATTCTATACTCTTTTGGTCTCAATTTTTCCAATCTTGATTGTAAAAATAGTCCTACAAAATAGCAATGTGATCTCTAAATAAATTTTGATCAAATAGCATTGAAAAATTCCTACTTTTTTAAATATAAACGCTTCATTAGCATATTTTTGAATTCATCAAAAATTATTATTTTTTAAATCAAATAGAATATGTTGATTAAATAATTAATATTTGTTCAAAACATAATAGTACAAAAAAAGAACATTTTATTTGGCATATAATATATTGGCTTGGGTGAATTATGTGCTGAAATATTGGTAAAATTCAATTATTTTTACTCAGTCCACAAATTTTTGGATGCTACTGTATATTCAATAATAAACTACAGTGTAAATAATAGTAGACAAAAATGGCCAATTTCTGTTATTTTTTCATAACAAAATGTTTGGTTTTATACAAAAATTTAAAAAGAACGATAACTGAAAAACTACAACAGAAAACATACAACAGAAGGTTCAGTTGTGTATCTTTGAGATGAGAGTTGAGCTTGAAGATCAGATGAACCAAATCCCATAATAAGTTTAAGCACTGTTGTAACTACACTAAAAACATTGTCATATATAAAGAAATATTAGTGCAAATATTTTATCACTACACTATGCAACATAATTTTTGTTCCTGGCTTTTAAGTGTTGTATATCAATTAATTAAAGTATGTGAAAAAATGACTTCATTAAGCACAAACTTTGCTTACACGACAGTAACACAAAGAAAACTTGTTTTTTTGTATAAAACAATTTTTTTTCTTTTTTTTGTCATTATGATCAGGTAAAAATAAAAATTGCACAAGGAAAAGACAAACAGTCGGAAACCACTCAACAAAGTTCAGAAATGTTTAGATTTTCTAGATTTACATTTGTACTGTGAATTACTCTCTCAATGTTCAAAGTCCAATATATCTTGATGAAAGCGCTCGCCTTGCTTCTCGGAATGAGCGCCCATTTTCTCCTTGAATTTGTCAAGATGCGAATCAAGGATATGGACTTTCAGAGACATTCTGCATCCCATTTTGGCATAATTCTTTTATGAGAGTCTGCATCAACTCCACATAGTTTTCAGCTTTGTGATTATCTAGGAAGCCCTGAACAACTACAACAAAACTGCTCTAAGCCAGAGCGGTTTTTCCTGTTTAATGGCTTTGCGAAATCCTCACATTCTATGATATTCTTGATCTGTGGTCCAATGAATATATCAGCCCTGACTTTAGCCTTAGACAGCATTGGAAAAAGATCTTGGAGGTATTGAAATGCTGCTGATTCCTTTTCATGAGTAGTGACAAATTGCTTAATGAGGCCTAACTTGATGTGGAGCTGTGGCATTAGCACTTTATGAGTTTCTATCAGCAGCTCCCACTTCACATTACTCTTCCTAACAGAAAACTCGGTCCCTTGTGGCCAGCTGTTTGTTGTGCGATAATGCACCTTAGTGTCACAGCTGTCCCAGAGACAGAGGAAACAAGGAAATTTTGTGAAACCTCCTTGAAGACTTATGAGGAATGATACCATTTTGAAGTCACCAATGACCTCCCATCTGTAGTCATCATACTTTAATGCATTCAGCAACATTTTGACACTGGTGTAGTCAAGAGTACAGAGTGGGCCATCGGAAGAGACGGGTAGTTGTTTCCATTGTTAAGCAACACAGCTTTAAGGCTCCACGATAAACTGTCTGTGAATAGGCGCCATTCATTAGGATTATATGTGATACCTATAGTCTGGAAAAGACTAACAACATTGTTGCAGAAGCACAGCCCATCATGCTGACTGAAGAAGTTAGAGAACCTTTAATGCTGCTTCCTCTGACCCACAGCTTGTATGTATCATCAACCAAGTTTCACTGTTTGAGCCTGGATATCAGAAGCTCAGCATTTGATTTTGTAAGCCCAATGTCCCTAATTAAAATGATCACGTCTTTCTGGTTAGGGAAGTATGGCTTTCTATCCCTAGCTTCATCTACAGAATCATAGTCCATATCTCCAGTATCTGCTTTGCCATCTGACTTGTTGCTGTCTCCTGAAGATGGCCAATGCCAGTTAGGAGGATTCCTTCTCTCCTCTGAATCAACCTGTAACAGCACAAAATAATACATAAGAATTATAATAATTTCAAAATATGAAACGATTTCAAGATGGAACGTATTTGCCTACAGTACACAACTTATGACAAAATTTGTAATTTACTCCTTGAAATGAACTAGATTTAAAACATTGAAATTTTATGAAAATAAATTAAAACACATCACATTAAAACATTCAAGTGTTTTCTTGCAATATTCGGTATTAATACCGACACACCAAAGTATGCTTTGTAGGTCTTTATACGACTTTTTAAGACTTTATACCATACATTATACGACTTGCTTCCACAGAATACTTTTTCGCCCTTGTCTTTATGAATTGTCTGCACATGTAGCAGAATGAATCAAATGGATGCAAACAAGCTCTTAATGCCACATCAAATAACTTCTCTTCAGCTACGAATTGTTATCTTTCCAGTTTGCAGTAACACGAATTGGAATCTTAATTCAAGAACTGTGCTTTTATACTCGTACAACTTTTATTGGAATATTCAAGTTCTAAAAAGTTCTGAGAGTTTCTCAAAAGTTCTGGAAGTTTTCTGAACGTTCTAGAGTGTTTAGAAGAATTGTAGAAACATCTGAGTAACTCTAGCAGTTCAGGAATATTACAGGAGGAAGCTCTGCATTCGAGAATTTTCAAATCAAAGCAAATCAAGAATTTTCTCAAAAACACTCAATTTTCCAAATTTCATTGTCCTGGTCACAGAAGCAAAGTTTTTCTGGAATAACATCGCTTTCCTTTCTGTTCTAGACCTAACAGGTTAGGAAAAAACACTTTCAACCCAGGAACAGAACGAAAGTGAAAATTTGTTACATAGTATTATTTAAATATAACTCACTATTTTACTATTTACTATAACAAAAATTGACAATAAACAATTATAATATAAAAAATATAATAAAAAAACAAAATTTTTTAAACATTAAAAACAAACAAAATTATATCTGAAATACCATATTTGAATTTGTACTTTATCTAAGTCGCTGACAGGAACAACATTGTGGAGACTGGAAATAAGGCTCATTCGATAATGAGATTGAATATGATGTAAGCGATAACTAAACATTTCTAGTAACCCATGAAGAATGCTCCATGCTTTGCGTTTAATGACATTTGGTAAGACTTGGCCTAATCAATAAAATTGACAATGTTTACAAATATTTTCATTGCATCTACATTATTTACTATATAACAATATATATATATATATATATATATATATATATATATATTATATATATATATATATATATATATATATATATATTTGTATGTATTTAGGTGCTCCCAGAAGTCCTTACAGTCTTATCATAGAGCACCCCGGGAGAGCATTTAACGGGAAGTTCACCCCTCCTTCTGTACCAATGTCGCTTGTTGGGCTGAAAGTTCACACCTCCTTCCGTACAAATGTCGCTTGTTGGGCTGGAGCTGGCGTCGAACCCTGGACCTCTGGGTTCTGAGCCAGAACTCTAACCACTGCGCTTAAAATTACAAACTTAATCTTAACAAGACTGCAAACTGAAAAAGATGCAGTTTATTTTATTAATATCCAATCAGAAAAACTAAATAAGTTTTTATCACAAAATAAATATACAAGACCAACTCCTAAAAACAAAATAGAAAGTGATGATAAAAAAATAACTCAAATTAATTTAACTAAAGCATAAGGCATTCTAAATGTTTTAAAAAGGAACAAGATAAACAACAAGAACAGGCAGACAGAAAAGAGGCGAGAGAAGACAGAATAAGGAAAAAAGTAGATAAATATCAACAACAAAAAAAGTAAAGCCTGAAATTACTTCTACATTGTTATTGTTGGTTAATGCATAGATTATGTTTGTTAGTAGATGAATTATTATAAAATTTATCAAAAGAATATAAGCATCAGAAAAAAAATATTAAAAAGCAATAGTTGTACAAAATCGAGTTGAGCATTTGGCAGCTAACATATAATAAACCTGGTTAATAATTCAACTATAACATAAGTTGATATCAATCCGGTTGGAATATATCAGTTCTTGGAATTAGGGTTAGGGTTAGGGTCAGGGAAAGACCAGCATTGCACCACTTCTTTATCTATCAGGCTGGCATAAATGTATTTATAATACATTGTTTCCAGTTTAGGATGTTGAATGCTTGATTTTCTTTTTATGATTAGACAACTCATTTTATTATCTCCAAATGAGGGTAAAACTCTAAAACTTAGTTTTATGATTCTGAGCTAGGCTGGTAGTCAGGTTTCCCAAACTCTGTAGTAGCTTTCAGAGAGGCTGATTCCATCAACAGCTGTAAAATATCAAAGTACTAACAGTGCCATTTTGAGCATTGATGGTGTCGCTGTTTGTACTTTTGGTGTGCATAATTGTGTCCACATTTGAAACCTTTTGTTATGGCTTAAGATTTATTAATAGTAATAGAGTTATTATAGTTTTATCTAATAGTCCAATTGCTTGGACTATTAGATAAAACTATAAAACATAAAAAAAAACCATCGTCATCGCCAAATTTACTATCATTCGCTAATATTTGTAGTCTTTTAAGTAACCTTTCTTCTGTTAAGTCTTATCTCTTGCAAAGTTCACCAGATCTATGTGCTCTTTATGAGACTAAATTGAGTTCAGCTGTTTTGTGATCTTTTTATTGATGGCTATCATCTTTTTTGTTATAAAAACTCTAATAGTCATCTTTTTCGTCATAAAAACTCTAATAGTCACCTGGGCATTTACATTCGTAAGAGTTTACTCATTCGTTGGGAAACAAGGTTTGACTTTACAGACTATATTTTTATGTGCTTTTGTTTAGCATCACTTCATTCTACCATCTTTCTATTTGTTCGATATTGCTTTCCTTTATCTCATAACGACACTCTTTTCAATGTTATTTCTGATCAAATTGACCAAGCCCTTTCTCTTTATCATTCAGTCAATATCGTTGTTGTTGGTGATTTTAATGCTCATCACACTGAATGGATTGGCTCTTGTGTCAGTATCTCTGCAGGTGTCAAGACCAACAACTTTTGCCTTTCTCAATCTCTAACAAAAATAGTCAATTTTCCAAATCGCTTTCCCAACAATCCAAATCATTTAGTTTCTCTACTCCAGTTATGCCTTGTTTATGGTTCTAGTCAGTGCTTAGCTTCTTTACATTGACCCTTAGTTTCGTCTGACCACGATTTGATCTCTCTAAATCTCTCGATTCAAGCTGGCAAGAAATCTTTTATTTTCTCTCATTAATTATAAGTAAAGCCTCAATCTTCTTCTTGGTTTTCCTCATATTGTGGTGGTGCAATTTCTGATTGTAACCATTACTTCCATATCTATCACAAAAATAATTCTTCAGAAAACAGACGCCTGTTTACTAATACTAGAAAGCATTGTAAAAAGATTTTGTCTAATGCCAAAGCCTGCTATTCTCAGGTCAAAAAAAATAGTATTTCATCTCAAAAATTGGGTACCAGAGACCTTTGGAAAATCTTTAACAGTGTCTATAATAAAGACAAATCTTTTATTCCTCCTCTCTTGCATGATTCCAATTTTGTTACCTCACTTAAAAACAAAGCTGAATTGTTTGCTAAGTTTTCATAAATCTCATCTCTTGATTCCACTAATCACATTCTACCTAATAATGCCAACAAACAAGCTGATCCATTGCTTGAAATTTGCATCACTCCAGCTTTTATATCTAAAGTGATTTCCTGCTTAGATTTTTTTACAGCTTTTGGCCCCAACAACATACCTGTTGTAATCTTGCAGAAGCGTTCTCCGATGAAGTGTTGTCCGGAGCTGTCACCTATACATTCAAAACTATTTAAGCGCTTATCAGAGTCTTGTTTTCCAATCTGCTGAAAAGCGGCATCTGTTATTCTAATTTTTAAAACTCAGAAGAGCAATCTGACTCATTGATGGAAAAACAATTTCAAACAAGTTTTCTGGCAATATTGGTAAACTTGTCCCTATTCCCAATGATCTCAAAACTTTCACTAATGTAATTCAATTTATAGATATTGAAAATGATTTATTAGATACCAATATCTATACCGGATAACAAAAGCTATTTAAGATAAAATAATGTCAGACGATTTAAAAGAAATTCAATTTGGTCGCCACAATTATTCATGCTTCTTAAACTTGGCAAGTAGGCTTTGCAGAATCTGGTGTTCACACCATGGACTAAATGAAAATGATGTTGAGAATTTAAAACACCTTATACAGTTCTGTGTTGGTGTATACTCTGTAATTTTTTTTTTTTTATAACATCTTCGCTTCCAAAAAGGCTGCAAGCAACCACTATTAGTTGGATGTTACTGGAAGAGAAAAGATGAAGATTATAGAGCAAGATAACGATAGACAGACGACTTAAAAGATTGCAAACTATATGAATTAGGAAAGCAAGAAAAAGGAAGTGAATTCAAAAGAACTGATGTTCAAGGAAAAAAACTAGAGGAATAAGAGTTTTTGGAGCATTTATAAACAGTCACAGAAAAAATATGAGACATAATTGAATAATGAGTAACAAGTGAATGAATTTTAATAGATGGTACAAGAGACACAAGCTCTTATGATCAGTGCCCATTTTTAAAAAAGAGAAAGAGAAGCAACATTACAATGATTTGAAAATGGTTGGAAGTTAGCTGCAAAAGCAGGTTCAACTATGTTTACAATGTGTTTTTGCACCTTGTTTAAAAGAGAAAGGGCATCATTAGAAGATCCGCCCCAGACATCGCAACATTATTCCAAACAAGGACGGATTAGAGATTTATAGAGACAGAGGATAGAATCTGTAGTAAGAAAGTATTGAGCTCAATAAAGAGATGCAACCTTAGCAGATGCAAATTTTACAACAGATTTGATATATGGTTTCCAAGAAAGACCGGAAGTAAGAGTTGATCCTAGAAGATGAAGGGTAGATGACTCATCGAGTACACTAGCATTCATAAATATAGGAAGATCTAAATTATTGAAATAACAATTGGCTGAATAAAATTGAGTTTTATCTGAATTAAAGTTCACCAGCCACTGTGAACCCTATGCTGTAGCAGAAGTGAGATTTTTTTCAAGCTCAAATGCTCCCTCCAAGTAATCAAAGAGTGTTGGCTTCTTATCATGACAAGAATAAATAGTAGTATCATCAGCAAACAATGCCACCTTAGGTTTACGAATATCTAGAAGATCGCTTATGTAAATTAAAAAGAGGATAGGGCCAAGGATAGAACCTTGAGGAACCCCTGAAGTTACAGAATATGAAGATCGAGGATAACTTTTATACTACGATTAGAAAGAAAGGATTCAATAATCTTAAAGATGTTACCAGATACACTGTAAGAAAAAAGCTTATGGAGAAAAACAGCATGCCAAACTTTATCAAAAGCTTTAGAAATATCAAGAGCGATTGCCTTAACCTCTCCACCTTTATCTGATTCACAATAAAACCTATCGGTTATTACTGTTAGCAAATCAGCTGTAGAATGAGAAGATCGAAATCCATATTAATGATCAGAAAGTAAGTTATTAGATTCAAGATGAGAGATTAAGTGTTTTTTAATTAAAGATTCAAAAATATTGCTTATGATAGGAAGAAGACTATTGGAACGGTAGTTAGACAAATCAGATTGCTCTCAGAATTTTTGAAAACAGGAATAACAGATGCTGCTTTCCAGCAGGCTCGAAAACAAGACTCTGATAAGCACTTGTTAAATAGTTTTGAAAGTATAGACAACAGCTCTGGAGAACACTTCTGCAAGACTATAACTGGCATGTTGTCGGGACCACAAGCTGTAGAAGAGTCTAAGCGGCAAATCACTTTAGATACAGAAGCTGGAGTGATACGAATGTAGAGCAATGGATCAACCTGTTTGACGGCAAAATCAGGTAGAACGCAACTAGTGGAATTAAGAAATAATATTGATGAAAAGTTCTTAGCAAACAATTCAGTTTTATCTTTAGGTGAGGTGACAAAGTCTGAACCATGTAAGAGAGCTGGAATAACAGATTTGCACTTATCATTGATACTGTTAAAGATTCTCCAGAAGTCACAAGAGCCTAATTTTTGTGATGAAATATGACCTGAGAATAGCAGGCTTTGGCGTTAGACAAAACCTTTTTACAATAGTTTTTAGCAGTAATAAACAG